TTATATATATATATATATATATATATATATATATATATATATATATATATATATATATATATATATATATATATATATATATATATATATATATATATATATATATATATATATATATATATATATATATATATATATATATATATATATATAATGTGGTAGGTTCAAATCCTACATAATGGGAATTCAAGAGAGAGTCAATCTAAATAAAAAACAACTTTAAATTCATCAAAAATCCAACTGATCACCACGTCTGTACTGTAAATATGCTGTTACGAATAAGCCAATTAAAATAATCGGAATTAGACCTAAAATCCTAATAGAAAAGCTTCTATCATATAGATTTTATATTTAAAAAAAGCAAAAAGAAGTAATATGTGATATATATATATACTAACAAAAAAGGAGAATGATCTTCATAATAAACAATAATGTAAAATAACTATACAATACATGGAACAGGAATCTCAGACCTCAAATGCTTTTTATTTTTTATTTATTGAAGAAGATTAAATAAGTTGTCTCTTATATATATATATATATATATATATATATATATATATATATATATATATATATATATATATAGTTGCTAACTTATACGGCTCAAGCTTTTCCCCCATTTCCCATTCACAATTCAATCCCAATTCTCTTACATAAGGGCCCACATGTAATATCAATAAAAAAGAAAAATAGAGTAATGTGATACAATTTGATAATAATTAGTCTTATGCAATATTGAAGGATATATCTCTATATATGTGGATTACAGAAGAAAACTCTAATCTAAGAGAAAATTATAGTAACAATAATATAGTAAGGAAGGTAATAAGGATTCCACTCTACGCTTTTCTCTCTATTCTTTAAAAATTACCCTCATCTTCTTTCTTTCCTCCTTTTCTTCCTTTCTCTTCTTCCCTTCGTTTCTTTCCTTTTTTTGGCTCGGCCACCTTTTTCTCTTTCTTTCATCCTTCCTCTCCTTCTTTCTTTCTCAATTCCCTACCCGTCACTTTCTCTTCCATCTCCTCCTCTTCCTCCTTCTCTTCTCTTTCTCCCCCTTTGTCTTTCTTCTTCTTTATCCCCCTTCTTCTTTCTCCTCCAATTTCTTCTAGATCTGCAAACGGCAGCGATGGTGGCGGTGACGGCGACGGTGACGACGTCGGTTGTGGCGATGGTGACAGTGATGGCGGTGGTAAGTCTGGATAGATCTTCTCTTCTTCTTTTCTTTCCTCTTATTCTTTATTTAGATCTGTGGCGGCGATGGCGGGGCTGTGACGGCGGCGGTTAGGCAGACGGCGACGGACGTGGTAGATCAGGCTCTTTATCTTCAGCGGAGATCCGGCTCTTTCTTCCACTTCTTCTTTCTTTCTTTTCCTTTTCTCTCTCCCATATATGGTGCTGTTTGCAATTGTGGGAGATGGTGGTGGGGGCTGGTAGGGGTGGTGGGGCTGACGGCGGCAGTGGGAGGTTGGGTGATGGTGAGGCTGACGGCGGCAGTAGGAGGTGGGGTGGTGGTGGGGCTGATGGTGGTGGGTGTAAGTGGGCACTGGTGAGGCTGGTGGTGGGGGTTTCTTGTGGGAGGTGGACTGTGGTGAGGCCTAGGGTATTTTAGGCCTTTCAATCCATTAGTAATATTCTATTTCTTAATACATCTATTATTCTTAATATCTCTCGTAGGTTGATTCATCGATAATGAGAAGCGGCATGGAGCACAAATACTGGAATTGAGCTGACGGAAGCTGTTTTGTGAGAATATCCTCTAGAAGTTGAAAGCTATATCTTCGTTGCATGACAACTGAGTTAGAGATCGTGTTGTTGAGGTTTCTTCTGGTGAAAGTGTTGGCGGTTGGAGCCAAGGTGACAATGAAGTCCCCACCAGGAGCGGAGGAGGGGGGGCACGGCTGGGCAATTGCCCCCCCCCCCCC